CTGGGATTACAGGCGTGCGCTACCACGCCCGACTCGTTGATAACCTCTTAATAGCATTTCAAAATTCAAAATTCTAATAATTCTAAAATTATTGTGCCAAATGCAGAATGGCTTCCAGGTGTCAATATTAATCCTTTCTAGCACTCCTAGTATGGCTAAACTAAATTAAATCTCTTTAATGTCAGCTATTTTTTTTTCTCACTGTTTTGGGCACACACACATACACAGGGAAGTTTTCTCTTTGATGAAACTCTCTGCTTCCCTTAGTCTTAATCCGTTTTCAATCGCTGTGACAAAATGCCTCACATAAACAGTGTAAAGAAGGGAAGATTTACTTTGCTAAAGGTTTCAGTCCCTGGTCAGCTAGTCTCATTGTTTTTATGCCTGTGGCAAGCAGAAACACCTGGTGGAAGGGTGAGAAGGAAACCTGCTCAGCTCATGGCAGATAGGAAGTTCACATCCCCACGATCCACTCCTTCCAACCACGCCCACCTCCTGTTTCCATGCCATCCAGGTATTACCATCACATTATGATCTGATGAACGGATGTCACTGCTCATGAAGTTAGCACCTTTATGATTCAGTCACCTCCAAAAGTCTCACCTCTGAGTACCTGAGACTTGAGGGGGACATTTTCCATCTAAACCATAATATCCTTCTTCCCTACCCCCTGGGGTCACAAGGGTGGACTTTTAAAGACTTAGACATGCCATGCCTCAGACCTACCCACTGTAGATGTCAGCAGCCCCCTTTGAGTGGATGCTCAGCTGTGCGGGCTCTCCCTCCCCAACCACAGAAGAGCCTTGACCGCTTCCTATGACAAGGTTCTCGGCTCTATGACAGGTGCAACTGCAAACACTGTATCAGAAAGTCTGTGCTTCAGCTGTGTTGCATGACCACCACGGGGCCCTGGCCCTCAGAATTTCTGAGATGTATTCCATCCCCATACTTATGCCTCCAGAAAGGAGGTGAGCTTGCTTCCTCCTATGACCCCAGATGGAAGTGAACGTGTCTAACTGCTTTGACCCAACCTGACTCAGGGAGACAAAGTCCATCAGAATATAAGAAGTGTCATGTACACAAAACAACTCCCCATGATGAATATAATCATTATATACTGCAAACATGTACTAGGAAAATACAAATTTTAAAAACAAATTAACAAAATATAATAAAGGGAGAATTATACTGTTAAGAAAATGGAATATCCTTCTAGCTGGGCTTTTGGAACAGAACTAAGTTGTCTTTTGAATCATTAGCACCTTCACTTATCTAAATCATAAACGTACATTAAGTATGCTGATGGCTTCTCTTTTCTCCAGAGGGAGAAAAATTACCTCAGAAAAAATTGTTTGTATAGGCTGAGCTCTGGTTCATATAATTTATTCCAACGTCCATTATTAGGCCCATAAAGACTGAACTCTGAGGAACAGTCGCATACAAAGGTACTATTCAGTGTGTGAACCTTATGACCAAAGACTGAAGTTCTCCACCAGAAGCCCCGATCCCTCCATAGTGCTATTTTCCTGAGGAGATACAAGATTTAGTCATTCGTAGTCGTGACATAATCTATGACTGGTGATGTGGGAAACTTTAAAAAGTTACAACTTTAAAAAGTATACTAAGGCCAGGCCACATGCCAAAAAAGACTCAGATTTTATAAAGATTTATGTCATTAGCACTATACAATCACAGCCGGTCCACAAAACTTTTTCTCAGGCCACAGCCTCTGTAGTGGTTCTTTTTAGCTGGGATTGATTTTGTCATTCATGGTACTATCTGCAAGACACTTCTGGTTATCACAAGTAGGTGTGGAGAAGGAGAATGTGATGCTGGAGCCTGGTGGGCAGAGGCCGGGGATGCTGCTGAATATCCTCCAACGCACTGCCCTCCGGGGCAGACTTCCAAAACAAAGAACTGCCCAAGCCAAAATGTAAATAGTGCTGAGGGTGAGAAACCCTGCTCTATAATGACAGAAATCAAAAGCATGAAAAACCAGCATGATGTTTGGGAGCCTAGTGGCTTAAGTGAAGCCAAACTAATTCTCTGCGGCTGTGAGTCTTGGACATAACACTAGGACTTCAGTGTTTCCAACTGTGCTTAATAAAGTAGCACTGTGGGATCAAACAGATGGGCTTTATTCCTGTATCAGTCGACCAGTTACAGAACGAAAAGAGGTGCTCTCTGCTCAGCTGGTGGGACAAGTGTTTTGGTTGAAGTACAAGGAAGACGAAATCATGGCCTGTTCACCAAATTATAAGGCCAAGTTCCTACGCTAATAATGTTAGGAACTTGGGGGACAGAAAACTCGGGTCTTTTGAGGAAAGCAACACAGTGTTAGGCAGTCTATCGGCTAGGAGTAATACTGCCAGGCCTGATCAGCAGCAGGGATAGTTGCAGATCCAGAGACAGTCCTCTGAAGGCAGAGTGGAGAGAACGATGTCAGAGGGACATGGATGAGATCTTGATCAAAAAACATGGATCCACTTGGGTCTAGACCTCGTTTCGGACCTTGCTGTGTGAATTTAGGCAGGTCTCAAACCTTTTCTGTAAAATCAGGAGCCAGCCTTGCTCTACAGGATTTCCACTCGGTTCTACATTCTCATTCAGAATTTTCCTAATTTTCCTTTACCACTTGCTGTGGTATCAAAGGGTAAGATGAGTCTGCACCAGGATGCCAGTGAGGTATGCTTATTAATTTGCAATAGTATGCGGCAAAAGAAATAAAGAACAAAAGACACATGTAGGCTTGCATAGTCAGGAAGATCTTTAATTGGATAATTATTCATTCAACAAATATCTGCTGAGCAGCTCTTCTGAATAAGGTATAAAAAGTTCTCTCTCTATATATATATTTTAAAGTTGTCTTAAACAAACCTAAGAAGCTCTTTAAAAGTTTATTTCCTCAGGTTTACAGCAGTTAACACTCAGTTCCAAGACTAAAGTCCCTTGCTGCACCCCACATGGGACAAATGGGCCTGCATTAGCTCATATAGTTCCAGGTGGTGCTGACGCAGCACAGATTTGAATATTCCTCTCGGTGGGGAGTAGAGATGGAAGTTCTATACTTAACCTGCTGATAACCTGCTGCTACAACCTTCTTCACAGCCCAGGGTTTTCAGAGATCCGAAGCATGTGTAAAGAATATATGCAATCAAGTAATCCAAAACTTCAATGAATTGCTCTCCCTCTGCCTCTCTGGTTCTTATCTTTGTGATCGATGCCCACAGGGCCGAGGGCTGGCCTTCAGCAGGCTCTGTCAGGGACAGCTGCTTGCTGGGGATGCAGAATGCCTCAGCTCCAACAGTTACATCTTCAGAAAGGCCACCTGGAAAAGAAAGAAAAGCTCGCAGTGCGTTCCTCCTATGATACGATGAGATCCTACAGGCACGTTAAATCAGAATCAGGAAAGTCTGGTCAGTAAGAATGCATATTTCCAAGGAAAAGGACTGAGTGGAGCCAGAGACTGCATTTTACAAGCAAGAACCAATTAGTCTTTTTTAAATGAACCACAGAGCACTCAAAGTGATTCACAGGCACTTTAAAGGAAAAAAAAAGTTTTAATTGACACTAAAGTTATATTGCCATGAAATAATTTACTTCTCCTTCCCATTGGTTCCAACTACTGTTTTGGACCTTCCATAAGCAGAATTCTGAGTCTCAGAGATTCCTAGGCAATTCCAAGTCCTCATCACTGTTGGTAATTACACCAGTTTCTCCTCGGGTCATGCTGATAGTTTTAATCCCATGCAATTATATTTATTGTGTTTGTCAGTAGCAATTCATCTTAAAACCTAGTTTTCAAGAAACTTTAATTCATACTGCTCGTTTGCAAAAATATTTCCTGCCTATTAATGAAGCTGAGAGCAAATGCATCTAATGTCCTAATAGTTTTAATCTCAGAGAAACAAACACTGGCAAAGTCAATCAAAAGTTTAGAAAGTTGCAGTTTAGAGGTGACAATAATTTGGGGATTGTGAGAATATCAAGAAGAGAGCGAAATGTAGAAATGCTGAATGAAGAGTGGGAGGCCGGGGAAGCTCACGCTTGACCAGGAAAGGTGGGCCGGGGTAAGAAATATAAGTGAAAACATCCCCCTCTTGAGAAATATGGGACATCTGTCAACAGCATCAGGAAAGTCAGTTCTAAGTCCCCAAATGCAATCAGAGGAGGCATATATTTAATGATCCCTGTTAAGGGGAAAGGAAAAAGGAAGAGTCATGCAGGGCAGAAGGCATCTGCTTTATGTTGAGCAATTCAGAAGGGTGCTACTCATACAGTGCTGCTAAGAAAGAAACCTGCTGAGTTTCCGTACCAACTTCCTGCTGGGTGTCTAGATCAAGTTTTGCAGTGAGAGCACCAAAGTTGAAGGAACAAACACAGAGGAAAGGTTGAGATTCCGAAACAAAATGTAAACATGGATAATTGATGTAAACCACACGGGTTTATTGGGGAGATCAAACGAGATGGTGGCTGTGAAAATCCATGTCACTTTCCCTCATCTCTCAGTGAATAATAGATATTAGGAGCCCATGAATATACTAGATGGGAAGGGACTGTTCGCAAGAGACCAATGTGTGGCCCACTAGGGAATGATTATAGAGTTATATAGAAAAGCAGACCAGAGGTCCTTGAGTCTAACTTTGGGCCCACTTTGGATGGCACTGCTGGCAGATGATATTCGCCTCTATAAAATAGTTCACAGGGACCGGAAGCGTACCAACTTTCAAGAAGACAATGTCGCTGCACATTCAGAAACTGGAAGAGGATGGATGAAAATCAGTAATTCTGCAAGTTGCTACACTGTATAGTACTCCGGCATAGGAACGGAAACAACTCAGTACAGAGAATAAGCACTGTAGCCCTGAAGTCATGCAGAGCAGCTTCTCCCATATGGGGGACAACGTTGCTCACCAAAGATCTGGCAGTCTGGAGACAGTCTTGGTTGTCAACACCAGGGATGGGGCAGCTACTAGCGTCTAGTAGGCAGAGGCAGAGATGTGGCCAACATCCTAAAAAGCACAGCACAGCCGCCATAAAAGAAATACCAGCCCCCAAATGTCAAGTGCCAACGCTGAGAAACACTGAAAATACAGACAGAGTGTGCTGGAAGCAGATTTTTCACTTACTAGCTGTGTGACTTTTTCATAGACTTGTTAGCCTCTTTCAACCTTCCTCCATCCGTAGATGGGAACTGTAACAGGACGCACATGAAACTTGTAAAACATTGCACAGCACATGAAGTTTCTGACTCCTCCTCACCAGAGTCCTGGGACAGTGGTAGCCAACGTGTGGCACGCATGCCGCAGCTGGCTGTTTTGTTACTGAAAGCTCTAAAAGTTTCACCATCACTGTGCTAAGATTTAGGAAAAGCAGCGCTAAGAACTTCGGTGTATAAATATAGAAACAGAAGCTCAGAAATAAAGTGAGTTTCTCAGGTAACAAAGCCTGTCAAGTGGCGCTGGTGAGTTTAGGGAGAAATGTGGATCTCAAGTCCCTTCTTTCCCCATTGCAACTCTGCACATGAATAAAAGAAAACTAGAGGCATACACGTTCTGAATCCTCTGCATCGCCTCCAGGAACAAAAGATGGCCTTTCTTTGGCACGTCTGTGACTGTGAACTCAAGATGGAGATCTGAGCGGACTGAGCAACGCGAAGTGGAGCCCCCATCAAAAAAGGAAAACTGGAAATGTGACCCGATGTGCCCTTTTATCATCTCTAGTTTTCATAGTTTTGCCTAACAAATACGTTATGTATTTTTTCAGGATTTCATAACGAAAAACTGCAGTCATTAGTTTCTTTTAAGACTCTGTGAGTTCACGCATTTTAAATGCCCATTGTGTGTTCCTTGGCTTTTATCCATCACAAGAAAAATTGCTTCCCCTCACTGCCATTTATTTTAAGGGGGTATAATTTTATTTTGTCTCACTACACTGAGAAAAATCTCTATTTCATCTTTCTAGTTTTATTCCCCAAAGTAAAACTTTTAAAGCTTTCAGACTATGTGGGTACAGCTGCAGCTTCAGGCTCTGGTGGGTGTTCCATTTTCTGGAATGCACAGTAATAAAACGCAAGTAATTATGAAAAACACTGAAGAGGGGACCCTGTCCCATGGCTGTACGGGTTGACTCTGAGTACTATGCACCTGAATACGAACATTTGGAACGGAAAGGCGGAGAGGTAAGATGCCTAAAGATAATGCTTTCCATACGAGTCATCATTTAAACACAATCTTCTCAGATAACAATAAACAAAACCAGACTGATACAGCTGCTGGCCAAATGTTGAGTTTATAATGCCTTAATGCATGTGTATAATTTATTCAACACTTTTTACTATTCTTTTATCTAGTTAACAAAATCCTATTGTAAACTTATTCCTCACCAGAGATTTGGAATCAGTCAATAAAAAGATGCTGTCAAGGCAGGCTACACAAGATAAAATTAGCATTTATTTTTAAACTGCACAAATGCCTTGGGGCATGCTAAACAAATCAGACAAAATTATGAAATACTGTACTAGAAAATGCAAGTTTCATAATTGAAGGCTTCAGAAATGCCTGTACAATAGGCAACCACAGCCATATGCAAACACTCCTTCAAAGGGCATTGTTAACTTTAAATCACAATTTTATTTTTCATTTTTTAATGTGTATGTTTGTCTAGGTTCAGCTCCTATTTGGTTATATTCTGAAATATACTGCCTTTGCAGCACAGAAAAAGAGAATCTATACTCTATATTTTGTATTATAAAGCCCAGTTTCTAGGAGCTAAACTTCTTTTACAGAATAAAATCTACAATAAAAATTTACAACAAAAAACAAGAAAAACACAAGAATAATTTTTAAAATTAACTGTTATAGCATTTACCCAGTGTATTTGACATCTTAAAATAACATGGGGATTAAGTAGTTTCTACAAACTCACTAACTCAGTCTTGAACAGACCTGATGAAACCTGGACCCAACTTTTTCCTTTGGAGAAATAGTCTAAGACAGTCCTCTCGCAGAGATGGCAGGGATGGAAGGGATTTCAGTCATCCAGTGGTTAAGTACCTCCTATGTGCTACTGACTGTCACCGACCACAGTGAGAAGAAAAGGTCCCCTCGTGGGATCTACATGGGAGGGAGGAGACAGTCCAGTAAGGATTCTAATAAGGTGGTAGACAGAAGTTTAAGGTGGACACTTACCACCTGATGGGAGAAAAGAACACTTCCTGAGTTCTGAAAGGAAGAGAGGCTTCTGAGGCAGTACCCTGAAGAGGTCATTACTACTCTAGGAATACTGTGTTGGCAGAAAAGGCAATAAAATTGGCATGGCACAGTTTGGCACATACTTGTTGCCACTGAAGATGTTGACGTGCTGAAAGTATTCCTGGCGAACAGGGAGGACTGAACAAAATTTAAAGATGTGGGAAACAGGTCAACGAGGAAGATCCTGTCCCTCTACACTGGCAAAAATTATAAGAGCACTCAACTAGGGAGAGAAATGCTAGGCGAAGGGGACGTCACTGCAGCATTCTGACTCAAGTGTCTACAAATCTGTAAGAAGTTTTTAAAAACTGGGGAAAAAGAAGAGAAGTGTCTATAAGATGACTTTATCTTGGATTTTCTTTAAACCACAGATATACTGTGACAACTTCTATAGAACTGAAAAACTTCTCATTTTCATCCACCTAGGAAACAGTTACGCTAAGCCTCGTGATATTTTTCAGTGGATAGCTAGGTTGAAAGCCAGGATGAGCAGTATTAAGTGAGAGAAGTGTGTAGAGAGACACAGAGACAATGGACACTGCCGGATAGGGCTGAAAATACGGACCAATGTGGCAGCTGCTAGTTCTCCTGGCCTTCAACAAAGCAAATTAATTCTAGACGGAAACATCTCATCACTTCTTTCAGAACAAGCAGATTCCGAGTGCACTGTCAGCCTAGATGGTGCTATCATAGTGAACAAGAGTTTCTGATGTGAATAAATAGCTCTGATGCCCCCAGCCATATAAGGTAAACTGAGAAACTCACCTAATGCAGCAAATTCATGGAGCAAACATGTATGCCAGATATCCTTTAGGTGTTACATAAACACACACTGCCTCAAGCACAAAACATATTTGTATGGTAATGATGCTAATAGGGGTGGGTGTTAAAATGTGATATACAGTCTCACACACTATCAGTCATGCAAAACCTCAATACACTATCAGTCATAAATAAAAAGGTCTTTGTAGTTCTTCCTTTCTACCGAACATCTTCAAGAAGGAATGTGGCAGAGAGGAACAGCGGCACCACCGCAGGTCTGGACTAGACTGGCGTGTACAGTTACCACTGCACG